ATTACATAGACAATCTAAAAATAAGTCTTTTAATCAATTTTTTTTTTTTTTTTGAAATTTAAATACTTACGAATAGCAATCGTTGACCATAAACCAATAACAATTCCAAACGAAAAAAATAAAATATATTTTATAATTAATGGTGATATATCAACTATATTCTGAGTTCGACTTAATAATAATAGTCCCATGGTTGAAAAATGTAGAAGTGTTGTAAATGATATAGAAGTCTAAATAAATAAATAAATAAAAATCAGTAACTCAAATTTAGCTTTTTTTTTTAATCATTTTATGTCTACCATAATTGAAATACGTTTAATTACAAAAGCAATTAAGGTACTTGATATAGTTCCTCCTATTCCATAAATAATTATCATTTCAACTGTATGTCGAAGACCAAAAAGACATGTTACATCAAACTAAAAAATATATAGATATAGATATAGATATATGAATGTCATTTATTAGTATTCTTATTGGGAGTTATTATTTATTACTTTTGTAATACTACCAAAGAGGTAACCCTCTTGAAAACCAATAAATAATGCAAATAAATAATGACGACAACGAATAAGTCTTGTCGATGATGTTGATATGTCATTTTGTGTACTTTCATTTGAATAATATAATATTGATAAACGTCTACTCATACTTAATATTGACGTTGTCCATTCAGCACCGGCTTGGGGTAATAAACTAATTATTGTTAATATAAGTAAAGTGACAAAAAATATATAACGTGCTGGCTCAGTTTGCCATTCTATAACAATAATAAAAACAACCATCAACTCAATTATTTGATCATTTGACAGAAAACAAAAATCTAATATACCTTGTTGTCTCTTATTTATATGCATTGTTAAATTAACTAAAATGGATTGGGGTGGTGGTTTTAATATTTGTTCATTCTCATCTTGTTGACTATTAAATTGAAAACATGGTATTAATAGACATGGTTGTGAACCAATTAAAATATATTCTCGTCTATATTGTTGAAATAAAATAATAGCTAAAAGAAAAAGTCCACCTATAGTTAATGCTAAATGACATAATGAATTATAAATATATGCAAATATATTAAGTCGTATTGTTAAATTTTTAATACTTTGTATTGGTAATGATGTTGATAATTGTAATATATGATCAAATGATTTTATTATCATACAACTATAACTAACACCGCTTATACCAGCACTTATAAGTAATAATTGATAATATGAATGAAAATATTGCATTGTTACCCATGTACCAGTTAACATTGTTGCAATAACAATTAATATTTGTGAACAACGATCATATGCAATTACACTTGATATTGTCCAACGATATCGAACAAGATGTATACGTGATGCATGTGCAGCTAAAATAAAAGCTCCAACAAAGGCACATAAATGAAATGTTAATAATGATTGAAAACTATGTTCATTTAAATATATAGATGTTTGTAAAACTTCAGTTGTAAAAAGACTAGCAAGTGCAAATACAGATGCAAATGATCGAACAATAACAATTCGATATACAGATGTCATTGACATTGTTGATGTATTTAACCAATCATTACTTTCACCAGGAGATTCAGGTACAGCTAAAGAACTTCGTCTTGATGTGGGATTTGTTGGTGGTAATGTTGTACGTGATCTATAATGAGCTGGTCGAAGTGCATGTACTGGTGAATCAAGTAGAAATGTTGCATTTTCTAATAAAAGATCATTATCAAGTGAACGAACAGCGGGTTGACTTATACTTCGTTTTAAATGTTCATTTGTATAATTTGAATATGGATCATGTACAGTATAAAGTGATCGAGTTGTATGAGAAAAACCATTCATAGAAGATGCTGATGATGATGACGATATCATTGGTATGCGATTATTCATATGAATATGATCATGTTTTGATGTATTTATAGCAATTTGATAACTATTACGACGTGGTTGAATATCATTCATAATTGGTGAATAAAATCGACGATGATAAGGTGAATTTGCAAAAGTATGAATAAAATAACTGTCTTTATCGTTCATATGCGTTTTGATTCTGGATATGACATAAGAAGAGAAAGAAGAAAAAGAAAAAAAAAACAACAAATTTGTTGTCTTTCTAACACTAAATTTGTCGTGATGATCGAGACTCTTGAGTAATCCACTCGAGCATCCCTTGAGAAGGATTCTCTTTCTAATTTTTTTTGTGTCCGTTGTTGTTGAAACAATCTATATTTGCTGTTTTTCTCTTTCCATCTATCTAATCCTTCGATTATGGCTTATTTGTAATATTCAAAAAGAAAAAAGAAAAAAAAATATATATATATACACATAAATATCAGAATTTTTCAAAACTTTTAACTTATATAAATAAAAAATCTTGTTATTCATATTAATAAATGTTCGTGTTACATTTATTATAATTTTTCCTAATCAGTGTCTGTCAGTTGCTCTTTAGAGATTAGCGTGTGTGACAATGACATGTTCATGTTTATTTGACACGCACAATTAATACATATACAAACTTACCTATAATTTTCCTAATCTATTGTAAGGCAATGATGCTGAATCTTTTTATTTTTTTCTTTTATCCGATTGATCCAATGTGAATGAAGATCTATCATCGTCAATTCTGTTATATTAACAACATAACACAACCGACCGGATCGTCCTGATCTGATAAACAAAATCGATCATAGTAGTGCCACATCTCTTTACAATTCTCTCTAGCTTTTTTCCTTCTAACCATCATCATCATCATCGTCGTCGTCGGAGTCGGCATCGTGTTCTCTGCTACTATTTTCCTTTTGTGCTTACGCGTTATAAATTGTAAAGAGAGGAAATAGCTCACTTGTTTAGCATTCTTTTTCTCACTCTTTTTTTCCTTCTCTCGTTTTCTTTTTGTAGCATTGGAAAAGAAAAGAGAGAGAGAGAGAGAGAGAGAGAGAGAGAGGGAAGGAGGGAATTCCGTTTATTTTGAATGGTACTAGTTAGGGTCCGATTGCAGTGCACGAATGAAGTGAGCCTTCGTCAGTCGGCAAGCATGTTTGAAACAAAAGAATGAGTCGATTAGTGATGACGGGCCAATCTCTTGATTGAAGAAACCTCCACTAACGTTAGTGGCATGCATGTTCATCATCAATTTCATTAGTTCATCATTCTTTCTCCGATCAATTCCACTTAGTTTCTTTCATGTCTCTATTTTTTCTCTACATATATCTTTTGCTTAACAATTTAACAGATATTTCTCTTTCTCATTTTTTTTGCTCATTCTCAAGGCGATATTGGCTTGTTGATGACTTCGTCTTCAAGTCTTTTTTTTCATTTTCCGCACTATATGAAATACAATCGAATCGGAAATACGCCTTCTTTAACACATACAGAAAATTTTATCAACTATAAAGCATGATGGAAAATTAAGACAATAACTATAATATAGACAAGAAACAAAAGTGTCAAATGAAGAATATCATATCCACTACTTGATTTATTTGGTATCATTGTTTTCCAATTCAATTGACTTATATATGGTGAACGTATTGTCTTTGCTTCATTCCATGCATGATAAACAATATAGGTAGTTTTCTGATCACGTCCAAGAATAATTGAATTATGTCCTGGTCCTATAATAATACCCTCTATTGAATGTGTAATTCGAGCTTGATTAGTTGAATCTTCTGTATAAGGTCCCATTGGTGATGAATACGCTATACCATAATCAACACCATACGATGTACTTTGCCAATTACCACCACTATAAAAACATATATAGACTCCTGATTCTTGTTGCCAAGTAGCAGCACCTTCTAATGTATACCAATCATATATATTATCATAAATAGATCGATTATGTTCATAAAGTTGCCAATCATGTTTAGCACGTAAAACAATTGTTTCATTTCCAGCTAATTGAGTCATATTATTTATAAGACGATCAACAACAATACCTGTTCCTACACGATAACCATCATTAGTATCAAGAAAATCTCGACTATAGAATAAATACCATTGTCCATCTTTTTTATCTTGAAATGGATGAGGATCAATAGCAAATGAAAGTTTTGTTACATTAGTTAATTCTATTGATTGACTATCATCATATGGACCAAGTGGTGATGTAGATGATGTAACACGTAAACGATGTTTTTTATCTCCAAATCCAACTGAATAAAATAAATAGAATATATTATCTTTTTCAGCTATTTCAGGTGCCCAATATGAAGATGGTTGATCAGGTCGATTTATCATATCTAAAATATTACCGGAATAATTCCATGTTATAAGATCATCAGATATAAGTGATGGAAATGTGGCGTTATTTTCACTCAAACCAAGACCAGTACCAATCATATAATATGTTCCATTGAATTCAAATGCAAATGGATCTGCTAAATAATTTGACCATACTGGTTTTTTAGGATATTCATCAATATGATCAGGTATTAAGGTCGAATTAACAGTGATGATTATAGTAAAAAATACTACAAAACTTGTTCTAATTGCGTATTTCATGAGATCTGATGTTATAAAGATAAAAAAAACAAAAGAATGAATGATGTTGATAAAGACTATTGTTTTCGCGTTGCCCTCAGAGTATTTCGCTGTTTTATTTTTTATTATACTTTTGACATGAATATGAAAAAAACCCATGATAATACTAATCTCATATTAATAATATTATTTATTTTTGAAGGACAACGAAAAAAAAAACAAATAGTAAAGTTCATTATTTTTGTTCTGTCGTTCTATGATATGGATAGATGATGTATACGAGCGACATGGTGTACAATACGTATACAATTGGTCGGTCAAATATACCATTAGATAAATGTCGTTGATTCATGACTCTTCTTCTTCTTTTCATATCTCCTCTTTTTGTTTTTTTTAATCGTTTTGAAAATGGATTCTGGAGGTAGAAAAGTTATTGTATGTGATAATGGTACTGGCGTAAGTACTTTAGTGTTTTTAAGTCAAACATATTCTTCAATATGTGGTTTTTTTTGTATTTTGTAGTATATTAAATGTGGTTATTGTACGTCAAATTTTCCTGATTTTCATTTTCCATGTATGGTTGGTCGACCATTAATTCGTTCTCGTGCTAAAGTAAACAATATTGAAGTTCAAGATATAATGGTTGGTGATGAAGGTATTCAAATAAAAATATCTTTGTTCTTTTGATTTTTTTTTTAAATTTCTATCTTGATTTATTTCTAGCACAAAAAGTTCGACAAATGCTTGAAATAAATTATCCTGTTGAAAATGGTATTGTTAATAATTGGGAAGATATGAAACATATTTATACATATTTATTTGGTCCATCAAAAATGAATATTAATCCAAATGATGCTAAAATTTTATTAACAGAAGCACCACTTAATCCAGTAAAAAATCGTGCTAAAATGTTAGAAGTTATGCTTGATCAATTTCAATTTCATGAATGTTCATTAGCATATCAAGCTATATTAACATTATATGCTCAAGGAATATTAACTGGTGTTGTTGTTGATATTGGTGATGGTGTAACACATATTTGTCCTGTTATTGATGGATTTTGTTTACAAAATTCAATAGCACGACTTAATATTGCTGGACGTGATATAACAAGATATTTAATTCGTTTATTACTTCTTCGTGGGGTAAATAACATATTGATTACTAACGAGTTACCCATGAACGAATGAATCTCTCAGCCTTTCAACATGAGATGCTAGGACAAATCGTTGCAATATTTCATTATGTTGGATGTTTCTATATCTGAAGTTGACTTCTTAAAGTATGATCTAAGAATGTAGATTTTAGGGTGTAGATGCGTGTTCCGAGTTTAGAGGGTGGGTACATGGTTTAAGGTTTGAGGTGTGAGTGTAGAGTTTGAGTGGTACTGTGGGTTTAGATGCAGTTGTGGCTATGATTTGAGGACAGCGGGGGAATCTCCTGTGAGTTAAACTGGTTATAACTGTCTGCACTATACACACCCACATCCGCATAATGAAATGTTGCAACGATCTGTTCGGTCGCCCAACATAACGAGAGAATTTTTCTCGATTGATTCCTCGTTCGATTCTCTACAAATTTACAGTTTTCATTTAAATGGAACAGCGTATATTATTTGTTTAGACTGAATAAAACGAATAGATTCAGAATGCGGCACTTTTAAAATTCTTTTTTTTTCTTGTCAAGTGTTTTGTACTCGTCTTTGTGATTGATGTTATCAGTCCGAAACTAGCTTTAATGAAGTCTTCGGAAATTGTCACAATTTCTTTGAAACTTTGTATAAATGACCATCTTTTGCATTCTTGCCCTTTTGATTCCATATAAGAGAACATTGTTTTTTTGAAAAATCAACTATAGAGATACTTCTTCTATCTAAGAAAGATGGCCGTATACACAAAGTTTCAAAGGGATTGTGCCAATTTCTAAAGACTTCATTAGAGTTAGTTTCAAACTCATAATATCACTCACCAAGACGAGTATAAAATACTTGATAATAAAAAAGAATTTTGAAAGTGCCACATTCTGAATCTATTCGTTTCATTGAGTCTAAATAAATAAGATATGCTGTTCTGTTTAACAGAATCGAGCGAAGAATCTATCAAAAAAAAATTGTCTCACTATGTTCAAGGACTGCTGAGAAATTTGCAAAATACTAAGAAATTCATTCTTTATAGGCCATCCATTACCAAGACAATATGGTTTTTTTTATTTAGATAAAAATAAGTTAGGTTTCTGTAGTTAAGAGTAAAATATTGTCATTCAACTATAGAAATATCGTATATGATTTCAACGAGAAAAAAAATTATAAAATAACATTGGGTATCTGTAAAAACTACGGACATTCATGATTACTTTAATTTTTATTTATAAAAGATGTTTTACAATTAAATATTAAACTAGGTGAGAATAACGTCTGGATGCACCTAAAAACTACGGACACATAAGGTTATCTTGACTTTAATTGCAACAGATAATGATAGTTACCTTGATGCCTATCTGTAAAACATCTTGTATAATTAAAAATCAAAGTAACCATGGATCAGTTTTAAACAAAAATGCTAACCTAGAATAGGTATCCATAGTTTTTACAGATACCCGAAAACATCATTGTTTACATTAAATAATTGAATAAATATGCTTTCGAAGACCACAATACGAATTTTCATTATATAAAGAATAGTAAATAAATTTCTTATTCGACAATAAAAAAAAAATAATTCTATCTACCAATATCTGAAAGTTTTATGAAATAAGTTTGTTTTTTTTTTTGATTTAATTTTAGTATGTATTCAATCAATCAGCTGATTTTGATACTGTTCAACAAATAAAAGAAAAACTTTGTTATGTTGCACATGATGTTGAACAAGAAAGAAAATTAGCATTAGATACAACAGTTTTAGTTGAAAGTTACACATTACCTGATGGTCGAACAATAAAATTATCTGGTGAAAGATTTGAAGCACCTGAAGTACTTTTTCGTCCATCATTATTAGGTTTAGAAGTCAAAGGTGTTGCTGAACAAGTATTTAAAGTTATTAATAGTGCACCTATGGATGATCGACGTAAACTTTATAAACAAATTGTACTTAGTGGTGGTACAACAATGTATCCAGGATTTGGTACCCGTCTTGAACGTGAATTAGAAAAACTTTATGAAGAACGAATTCTTAAAGGACAATCGGATAAATCAGCTAAAAATGTTATTTGTATTGAAGCACCACCACGTCGAAAAAATATGGTCTTTTTAGGTGGTGCTGTTTATGCTAATTTAGTTAAAGATACACCAGCTCAATGGATATCTCGACGTGATTATGAAGAACAAGGTATTGAACGTTGTGTACAACGATTAAATCAAATTTGTCCACGATAGAGAAGAAAAAAAAAAGAATGAATGAATGAAAGAATGATTATGATTTTAGCATCTATTTAAAACAATAATTCCAATTAGTCATATCTGATTTTTTTTTTCTTTGTAAACTTTTCTACTAGTGCAATTTACTTTTTTAATACGATTGTGTATTTCTTTGCTGTTTGTTTTCTTTTTTTCATTTTCTTCTTTGGTAATTCTTTTCATTTATTTATCATCAAATGAACTGCACTTGTAGATTAATATTATTTCCAATAGACACAATGCCTGATCGTATTCATTGTGCATCCATTATATTGATTATAATAAGTATTGGATTCCTAATTGGTGGCATTCTATTGGTAGTCCTTGGTGATTCAATTATTAAAAAAATTGTTAGAAATGTATATAATAATTTCTTTTTTTTTCTTCTTTTAAATTTTATTTGATTCTTTCTATTTTGTCATTTTTTTGTTTTTTGAATCGAAAAGGAATGTCAACTAAAGCCAGGAACAATGCTTTATAATAACTGGCATGATTCTCCTGTGCCATTATATATATCATTTTATGTATTTGATCTTAATAATACAGAATTTCTTAATGGTACATCAAAACCACATGTTAAACAACGTGGACCATTTGTTTATAAGTGAGTTTGATTACAAGTAGTATTCATTAGGAAAGTCATGTAACACCTTTTTCTTTTGTTTTTGTTATTCCTATAAAGAGAAGAAAGAAAAAAAATAGATGTAAGAATGTATGAAAATCAAACAATTTCTTATCGAGAACTACGCTCATATACATTTGATTCATCACAATCAGCGGAACTCGATACAGTAAATATTACTGCAATTAATCTTGTTTATATGGTAAAATAGAATATTATCTATTTAACATCTTGTTAATATAATCCTTCATAGGTATTAGTGAATTATCTTCAAATGGAAGATGTTTCTCCTACATTTCGAAAAATAGTTGGAAATTTATTAGCTGATCAAGAAAAACCAATTATGAAACTCAGTGTAAAGGAATACATTTGGGGTTATCAAGATCCATTATTGTATACCCTCAAGAGTCAATTTCCAGAATTGATCACTGATGATCAAGTATCAGTTTATAATGCATCAGTAATGATATATACATTTATTCTTATTTTCATTCATCAGATCAGTTTCTATGAGCAATTAATACAGAATTTACAAGAAGATACAACACATGTTTAAGACTATATAAGTTTCAAGAATTATATAGAACGTCTCAAAAGACAAAATACAAAGAGAAAATTGAATAGCTCTCTTATAGTTCTATCAAATAAACTGGCAATAGAGGACACTTTCAGGTTCAATACACAATGAACTTCTTTTTCGACTTTCGAAATTTTTCGAAAATCTATCATCAGTTCATTCAATAGAACCATAAGAGAGATATTAAAATATTTTTTTTTGGACCATCCTACTGTACAATCGTTTGCTTTAATAGAGTAAGAGCACATAGAACTATTGAAATACAAACTCAAATTATGAAGAAAAACGTTATCAAAAGCATTTAGTGTTATTTTAGGATGTTTAGATAAAGAATAATGAAAGTCTTTTATTTCAGGTACGTGAAGCCGGATCGAATACATTTTTAATTAATAATGGTGTTAGTTCTGGTACAAATAATACTGAACGTATTAATAATGTTGGTCAAATTGAACGATTTAATTTTGAAAGAAGTTTACCATTTTGGTCGAATGAATATGCAAATATGATCAATGGAACGGATAGTACAATATGGCATCCAAATACAAAAGAGAATGAACGAATTTATGCATTTATCTCTGATATTTGTCGATCAGTTTATCTTGGTTTTAATGAAACAAATATGAATAAATTTAATATTAAAACTTATCATTATACAACACCAAATAGTGTATTTGCAAAATCAACAGAAAATGAAGGTTTTTGTTTGAATTCTACAACTTCTAATAAAACACATGAAATAGAATGTTTATCAAGTGGTCTGTTTTCATTAAAATCATGTATACTTTGTATGTCGATTCATTCTAAGTAGAAATATTTATTATTATTACTATTATTATCTATTTAGTAAGTAATATTGTGCTACCAATACCATTACCTATCATTGGATCAAATCCACATTTTCTTGCTGCTGATTCTTCAATACAAAATGGTATTAATGGATTAACACCTGATGATATAAAACATCGTAGTTTTATGGATATAGAACCACTTACTGGTGGTAGGTGTTCGATTATTTAAATAAATAAAAAACAATGATATCTTCTGTTTTCCTCTATATTAGTTGTTATGAATGGATCTCGAAGATTACAAATCAATCTAAATGTTGTTAATGATTCAGCCATAAGGTATATATGAATATTTATCTTTGATTAACATAATAATCGCAATATTTCAGTGCTATTGCTCGTCTAAATTCATTTGTGTATCCTATGATATGGGTTGATGAAGTGAGTACACAAGAATAACAAATATGTTAGATAGTACAAAAATATTTTTATTATTATTATTATTATTTTAGCATGCAGAAATCGATAAAACTAATGCGGATAAATTTTATAACAAAGTAACTAAACCAATTATGGTACTTCATATTATGAAATATGTTATTCTTGGTATTGGTACTGTTTTATTTATTATTGTAATTATTTTACTAGCCTATCGTCGATATAAAGTATATTATTAAAATTTGTTTTTTATGTTTTTATTATTATTATTATTATTTATTTTTATAGGCAAGTATATTTGGTCCTCCTTTTGAAAAACCGAATGCAGATGAAACATCGCCATTACTTTTTTGAAAAGAACATTAATGGTAAATCAAAAAAAAAAACAAATTTCCTTTTCGAATTTTTTGAATACCAATTGTCTTTCATTTGACAATAATTTTTTATACTTTCTTTAATACAACTACTTTTTTTATCGTTTACTTTTGTATATAAGTTTACGTAAGAATGAAAAGACGTCAACATCAATAATATTAAAACATCAATTCCTTAATGTTACTTTTTTATTATAATTTTTTAATAACATAATAAACGAAAGTACTTTTTTTTATATAATAAAAAGCATTTATTACGAGAAAAAATTATATAGAATGAAAATCTTTAGGTTAATCTAATATATAATTAACAGGAATTGTTTGTTCTCTTCCATAATATCTATAATACTAAAAAACTATTGAACAAGCAATTACTTAATGATTAGATCACTATTTATAACTATATAAATTCTAACGAAATTAAAAAGTCCAAATATTCAGAAATATGTAATTACATAATATGCGCATATTGTAAATCCTTTGGGGACGATGGTACGAACTTTGTACCACTTATTTTCCGGTAAAGAAAATGTTTGCTCTCTTTTAAATTGTTATGATCTGTAAGGTAATATAGTTCGCCCCATCTGCCATTCCATGCATATCTTTTCCCTCTTTCCTTCTACTACCATACACTGACGCCATAATATCTTTCTATGTTCTTGTGATGTATTATCATAAGTTTTTTATGTGACTATGTTGAGCCAAACACAGTAAATTGATTGAAGAACTACTTTTCAATTAAAAAGAAATCCCCGTCCTCAAAGAGTTAAAAGTGACAGAGTATTTTTCGACCGATAAAACTCTTCTCAATAAATCATTTCAGTTAGATTAGCGTCTGTTTAACAAGATGCTTTTAACATTGTTTCGTAGAGAATTATCTAACCTAGAATGTAGGTGTAGATGTTTCCTCCTAAGCTACACCCACACTCACCCTATGACAGCACATCAACATTACAAGAGGCAATAATTACTTTTCCTAAGTGCCTCCGTTTCGCAGATTATTTAAGAGTCACTTTGCTAGTCATATGGACATGAGTAGCACATTAGCAAAATAATATGTACAATTGTCTTTCCATAAAAAATTTCGAGAAAACAATAAGAAGTTATTACTTCCTATAAAAAAAACTGACCGTGTGCCATCCATAGTCATATCGTGAACTTTCATATCCATTTAGATTTGTATGAAATATATAGCAGACATATTCCATTGAATTCTCATTCTAATTGATCAAATATTGGATAGTGTCAAATTATTTTTTTTTTGTCGTAACCCAATATCCTTCCTCTCAACTCCTCTTTCTCTTCTTCTTAATATTCCTGTTAAAAGTCTTTTTTAATTTTTTTTCTCAACTGCCATATTGTTTGCTTAACAACGAGCATGTTGCATCTATATAAGAAAGAAACATATATGAGCGGAGTGATATTTGCTTTTTTTTGCCTGTTCAGGCGTAAAAACAAGAAATAAATTATGTGTAAATATCAATACATCTCGACTCAATGAAAAATATTCCTAAGAAGACTTCAATTATTTGTTATTACTAGTGTATGTAAATCTCATTTTTTTCGTGTGAATTCTCTACTTTTTCCATGATAATTCGATAAAAATTGATTTAAAACTTCTAAATCGATTGAAAAAATAATTTACTTCACCGATTATTATTGATTATTTCAGTTATAATCTAATTTTCATCGAAAATTATTTTAAATCTTGTCAATCAATTATGAAGGAGCTGATCAAAAATAAATAAGGTGTATACAAAACCAAATTATTCAGACAGATACAAGGAGTACGGGTGTGTGGATGTTGTTGGTGATCTCGGATGCGCGTGAGTGAAGTACAGAAGACCTTTATCTACAAGCATGTCTTGTCGTATCTGGACCCGGTTAACAGGGGATTTTCCGAACCGAACCTGGTCGGGTATGGGTAAAGGAACAACTCGACGAGCTCTAAAAGGGAATAACTTGTACTTAGATGAGAAGTCAGACAGTCACAACAGTTTTCGATACACTTTATAGCACAGGCAAGTGCAGACTGGCTGTTTCCTCTTTATTATGCGTTTAGACTATATATTATAGAGAGCAAGTTTTTAGAATCATAAACATGGGTTATAAATAATTCGAATTATGGATAGGTAATTCTAATCTTATTTTCGTTATATTATGAAATTCAATTATATTTTACAAGATTAATTAATTTTGTTTTTAATGCTTAATTGACTTCTGATGTAATTGCACCAACTCAATTTGAAACACTTTATATAACAGTTTCAACTTTACTTTATTTGTCGAACTTTAGCTTGGTGACAACTTTATGGTTTCTTAACATGAGCAATCTAAAAATAAATCATGAAAAATTAGCACTTCGTATTCAAATCTCGAGAAAGGCATGTATGTCCGATGTGTATGATTAAAATCAATTAATAAGTAATAACAGATTAAAATTGATTAACAGGTAATAAAAGGTTGAAACATATTAACAGGTAGCATAGAATCAGAATAGACAATTTCTTGTGTAAAAGAAAAACGATAAAACTGTTTACAAACAAATACAAACAATTATATAAGAATTTTCAGCATGAGTATTATGAAACAAAATCTGAACGATATACTTGATTAAAATCTGATTTCTTAATCAATTATGATTGATTCTAATTTGGATACCATTGTACAACAATTAGGTTATCAATTTCGATTATTTCCATAGGATTTTGAAATTTTAATTGTTAAAAATTTTTTACTGGAAACATCCAATAGATTTGTTTGAGTACTTTAAATAAAACTCTTGACCGTTCTAGATATATCTTATTTAATTCCATATGCAAATAGACATTAAAAAGTAAATTCCTGATATGTACTTTTGGCATGCTCAATTTAGCGATATAAAAACGATCTGTTGTTTCTATCCGAAATACATATTGTTTCATTTAATATTGATTCATTGTTCTGTCTATACTTTGTTTTTCTGTCTATGTAATAATTGTTACAATTTATAATGGTTTTACATCGCCACATCACAACGAGTGACAACAGTAACGTCTAACTTATTGAATCGTTTACTTGATGAACAAACGAGTATAAATCAAGCAGTGATGACAGTACTTAAAAAACTAGTACTTTCGAACGAATGTTGTATGCAACAAATCAAACTTCAGAATGTTTTAATACTACAAGCTACTAATCAACAGAATAAGCGAATAGAAACGTTTTTTAACAAATGAATGTTAGATTCAAGCGTTTGATACGGAATGACTGTTTAGTTTTTGAAAATTTTTCGTTTTGTTATTAAACTTCACTTGTTGCATCCCATTTAAGCTTCTACTATATTTTGAATGCATTGAACAGAAAACTATTTTAAATTAAAGGAAAATACTCACAACATGCTTAAAGCACATTTATATATTGTTCATTTGCTGTTCGATAATACGTTTCGAAAGAAGAAAAAAAGTAATATATAAGACAAACAAATTTTAGCGATTATATTTGTTTATAAAACAAATTCTTCTACTTCATCAACGACTGTCCTATTTGGTATTGATCTTGGTGGATTTGTAACAATTTTTGGTCTTTGTAATTTGTCATTTTGTGATGTATATTGTCTTGAATTTGAATTGATTGTTGTTGAATTATTAGCTGTAGATGATGGTGCAAATAATGATTCAAATGGATCATTTTTAGTTTGTGTTGTTGATTGATTTGATGGTTTTGTTGAAAATATATCATCAGAATCGTTTTTACGATTTGTTGTTGATTTATTTGAATTATTACTAAAAAGGGATTCAAATGGATCAGCAGATGGTTTAATTGTTGTTGTTGGTTGTGCTACACAAGATTTACATTTATGTAAATGAAGAATAATTTAAATAGAAACAAAATATTACTTGTTACTGTTGAACGTGTTGATGATTCGAACATAGTCATTGATGAATTTTTCGTAGATGATGATTGAGCAGCAGTAGCAGCTTGTCTTCGTTCTTGTTGTTCATCAGCAACTAATTTAGCAAGAAGATCTTCTTTAGCTGAATCTTCTTTTTCATTGCTTCCAAACATGTCCGACCATTTTTCATCAAGTTGGCGTGTTGTACGAGATTTTGATGGCATTGGTGGTTCAGTGAGTTTAAAAATTGAAGATGATGTATTTCCACCAGTTCCTGATGAACTATATTTTGATTCATTTGCTGGTGGAATAGGTGCTATGGGACGTTTATGAAGTTGTGTATGGGATAGATGTTGTTCACTTCGCTGAATAGTTGTTGGTGGTGGTAATTTCTTAGGCTTTGATCCAAAAATATCTTCATTATCTAATTCATTTTTGTCTTCATCAACGCTCTTTGGTGTTGAGAGACGACGCGTCGGAGGTTTTCCTTTGGGTGGCAAATGATCTATTATTAAGAAAAAAAATATATTTCAAGAAGACAATTTTAATAAGTAGATGTAACATTTAAAAATTCTTTCACTAAAAAGAAGTTCCTATTCAAACTAAAATATTTTAAACGTAATAAAAGTTATTACATAAAAATAAAACGAAATAAAATTATTATAATAGTCATATTTTACTTTCCATTTTTATCAGCATTCATTATATTAATTTCATTTAATTCCCTTATAACTATTTACAGGAAATAGAAAAGTCTATTATTAGACATCTATTAACTAAGATGACTATATTTTTATAAGATCGACAAAGTGATGCTGCGAGCTTGTAAAATATGAAGAATATTGTGTCCTTATCTTGAGTAAATAAAATATACAATGAAAATAGAAAACGTGTAGGTTTTGAAAATTAAATTTAAGTGTTCGATATCTGATCAATTGGATATTAATACTAAATAGCAAATAAGACTTTTCTATAAGTTCAATTATTTTCAATTGAACAAAAAAATAAAAACTTATTCTAAATTCTAATGATTAACTATTTGTATATGTAATTATTTAAAAAATATTACCATTTTGTATTGTTGATGATTTTTCATCATTTGATAAATTTTTTGTAGTTGTCATTGTATTTTGTAATGATTTTTTTGGTGTAATAATTTTTTTCTTTTCATGTTTTGGTGAAGAATCATTTGAAGAAGATCGTTGTTGTTGTTGTTGTTGTGATTTTGATTTTTTTTCTTGTTCTTGTTGTTCACGTCGTTTTTTATCATAATTATTTGTTTTTTCACGTGAATGTGATGATGTTTCTTGAAGTGATTGTAATGAACGTGATTTTGATAAATTTGTTGGTGAATCTGATCGACGTTTACCACCACGTTGTACATAAATATGCATTGTATCAATTTGTCGTGTTTTATCTTCAAATTTAAGTAATAAATCATTATATTTTTGTGAATGTTCTTCAAGTCGACGTTTTAATTCACGTTGTTTTATTATTTCATGACTAACTTCATGACGATGATTTTTTTCTAAATTTTCAATATATTTTTCCTACAAAATAATAAATTTATTATTATATATATAGATATTTATTAAACAAATTTTTTTTTATTTACTTGATTATTTAATTTTTCTTGAACTTCTTGTAATTTTTTATCTGTTTCATTTAATTTTTCACGTAATTCATAACGTTCATCAAGATTTTTTTCTTTTACAATTTTTTCATAGTTTTTCATACGGTTTGTTTGATCACGTAATTTTTCTTCACGAACTTCAATTTGTTTTTCAAGTTTTATTTTAACTGCACGTTCATTAGATAAAACTTCTTTCATATAATCAATTTCATGTGCATAATCACGTACAATTCGATGTATATCAAATTCTTTTTCTTCATATTTTTTAATGGCTTTTTCTTCACGTCGTTGTATTGTACGTAATGTTGCATTTTCAACACGTTGAACTTCTAATTCACGACGTAATTCAGCTAGACGAGATTCAAGAGTTTTTATTTTATGATTTTGTGCTGCTAATGCACGTTGTTCTATTTCAGTTTTTGGTGATGATGACGATAAATTTTGTTTACGACGATGAATTGGATAACCTCCTGTACGACGAGTTTGTTGTGGTCGAATAGATGGTAAAAATGATTCATTACGTCGAATATTTCGATTTGTTGATTTTTTATGATTTGTTGTTGTGAATGAACTTTTTAATTCAGAATCACTACCACGACGAGGAACTTCATATATACGTTGTTGAGTTGGTGGTAATGAGCCATGCGTTTTATTTCTTTCTTGTATACTTTCAACAACTGTTTCATCATCGTCAAAACCATTATCATTATCAAAATCTAAAAATAAAAAGATTTTTGGAATTCACAAAAAAAAAAACTAAAAAGTTTGTTGTTTTTTTTTCTTTTTAACCTGATTCATAAGCTTTTGATTGGACCGATTCAGCTCGATTTGACGTTTCCGGCGTAATATTTTTATATCCATTTGTTGTTGATGGTGTTTTTGCATTATTTACTTTTGCTTATCAGAAATAATAAAATTGAATATTCAAAAAACTTTTTTTTTTATTCATTTCAAATTGTAATACTTACGATTTAGGCTTGGTGATGAAAGTCTTCGTTCTTCTGGTGTTGTTGTTGGAGTTGGAGTTGGAGAACGTTCAACAATCGGTTGAGTTTTAACAATTGCTGAGATTGATGTATCATTTTGTTTTGATGCAATTGAAGATTTTCTTTTATTATTATCTGTCTTTGGTACACCAAAAAACTCATCAAAACTATCAACTGATTCTTTACGTTCGGACATTATGTTTGTAAAAACGATAAGTTTATTTCTTTTTGTCTGTGTTGTTGTTTTTTTTTTTGTGTCGTCGCTTAGTAGCCAATATGACGAGCGAGAGAAGAAAAAAAAGAATTATCTATCTAAGAAGAAAAAAAAACACACATAAGACACTACTAACATTTGCTCATTAGAAAAGTTTATGTCACACATAGAAAAGTAAAACGAGCTATTGCTCCTATCAACAATAATATAATGTTGTAAAGGTAAGCAGAATGGAATAAAGAAACCAAGGCAACGTTCTCATCAACATACGCATGTGAGTTCATTTCTTCCCGAATAAACCAGTTGGAGCAAAAAAAAACCGCCACCACTTCTGTTATCACACATTGGACTGGTGAACGATGGAAGAACAAAAGAAAAATTTTTATTCGAATTTAATATCGATGTCATCATTGAAAAAATGAATTGATTTCTTGTACTTTTTTTTTTTTCGTTATTAAAACACAAAACATAGAGAAATGATTCATTATGCATGTGTGCAGAATGCAAGAGGCGCTATATCCATTTTATTTATTTGTTTTTTTCAAAAAAAAAAAAAATAAAATGAAAATTATCGTTTGCGACCAAAACGTAAGAAGCCGGTATCTCGACGAGAAAAATTATCTAATTTATTGCACAGTATATGCGATGATCTTGGATGACAAAGAATCAAATAAGAGTTATCTAAATTTTGTTCTTCTGCTTGTTTTAAATTATATAAATTAACCAATGTTTGTTCATCATTTGGACTATATTCATATGAACGAAATAATGTTTGTATTGGTTCATTATTTGGAATTATACGATAAGCTAGAAAGAAAACAAAAACTAAATTATCAATAATTGATTTTCTTATTTGAAAGTTTTAAATCTAATCACTTATTTTATAAATAATAATAATTAAGTTGTTCTACTTGAATTTTTTATTAATAATCCTCTCAACATACTAATTAACTATAAATATATTCTCAATGAGTTTTTTTTTTGTTTATTCCGTATCTCAAACTGTATAAATTAAATCTGCCTACCATATTGGATTGTTATAAAATTTAATATTACCAAACAAATTAAGATAGTATTTGTAGACATTGTATTATAAAGGATATCCTAGAAAATAAATAATAAATCTAAGAAACTATATCAAAGAACATATAATGATAAAATCGATGAAATTTAAGAAACAAAAAAAAAAAATTTATAAGTATTATAAATGTTAATGTGATTTGATCGATAAAGAAATTGACCGCCTTCTAAACTATTATATAGTTGATTTGATACATCATTGCTATATTCATTTCGATCAATTTATGGTCCTTTAGGCTATGCAAGATGAGATGTTTATGAAATAAAAGAAAAGTTAAAAACTATGTTACAAAATATATGAGCAATTTATTCACTTGAAAATATCGTAAATGTTAAAGACAATAAACTAAAATCAGAATCTTAGATTCTTTTACATGATGTGCTGCTTTTTTTTGTAAGAATAAATAACATATTGTGTAGCTTGAAATTCCTTCCAAGTAGAAAATTAGAATATATTTCCCTTCAAAAAATTGCATCGTAGATAGAAATACAGAGTAGTATATTGAAATTATGTGGAAATACGGATCTATGAACAATAATGAATCCCTCCTTTCCTCTTTGTTGTTGTTGCAGACGAATACAGAGATTTTTGAAAGATTTGAAATGCTAATTTAAAATGAATAGAAAGCTTCTCTAGTTCTTATCAGTTCACTTTTCGAGGTACTAAACTTATTCAGATTTTAGGAATTTTTAGTAGAACAAACCAACTAATATTTGCACAAACTTCTAATTAAAACTTATTCAGAAATTCTATGATTCGGTAACAAGACAAGAAACAAGAGATTATCATCTTCTAGCATTGAATCTCTTACGAGAGAATCTTCCCTACTTGATAATTACGTTTGAGTTCGAACTCTAGGCATAAGGTAGATCTCAATGAAGTATTAAAAATTCCAAAAGGATAAGAGCTCCTAAATTTTTTGCTACAGAGTTATAGTCGGTTTGCTGAAATTTTGCCTATGAATAAGTTTACTTGTGATTCGAATATTCTCTTCATGAGATTTGAATTTCCAAAAATCACTCATATCCCACGAAAGATTAAAAAATTATATGTTTTTTAGAAATTCAATGTCTTATGAAGAGAAAATTCGAGTTAGAAGTAGTCGTTATTCGATTCTTTTGTATATACTGTGCTATAGGCTAGAATTTTAGTACAACGACTATATCTTTGTAGAGAAAGCTTAGGAGTCCTTACCCTTTTTGGAGTTTTCAATATCTTTCGAGTGTCTACCTTAGACATAGAGTCCGAACTCAAAAGTGATTATCAAGTTGAAAAGGTGTCCTCGTTAGTAACCAAGTGGATTTATAGAATTCTTTCTATTGATTTGCATTCAAATCGTATTTGGACGGTTTAGTGCTTTTCGTTAACATAAGGAAAAAAATGTAGCGAAAAAGTAAAATCATCAGTAGGATCGTGATGGAATTTGATTTTACTTTCATGACTACAAGATTGTATTAAAATTTTGTGATCTGTTTCTGAAGTTTGTATTTTCCAAGAGAAGAAATCAACGATAAACATTCTGTCTAACACTGAACTCATTTTATGAAATCTACATTCGTGACAAAGAAGAGATCTGAATATTGATGTCAAATTTTCCGAATATCTTGTTCATAAATATTTTATCACATATTGAAAATTAAAATATGTAATAATTTAAAATTTTGAAAGTTAATAAATACTCAACTATCTTACAAACAACACGATTAAAGTTAGCTTTTACCTCTCAGTTGTTTGATAATTCTCACGAATAAACTAGTATTTCTACTTGTTTATTCTATTCTATATAATATATATATATATATATAGTAGATTATCATCTTATTAAGTCAATTGTCTTCTTGAATTAATAAATTACTTTTTATATCCAATCACTGATAAGTATCTGATTTATTTTTTCATTAACAATTTGTACAAGTCAACAAAAAAAATATATACTCATAACAAGAAAAGAAAAAAAGAGCTTTCGTAGTCTAGCGTCTTACCAAGAAAAAAGAACAACGGTATAAACGCGTTGAAACAAAAAGAAAAGAAAGATAGAACAAAGAAGGCAAAATACGCCTAATATCTGATCATAGAAGAAGAAGAAAAAAAAAAGAAAGAAAAATCTCATGAGAAACAATATTTTGAAAATGATTAAACAACTGTTCCAATTAATCCATCAATAATATCAATTGAATCTGTAAGTGTATAAAATAATTGTGAACGATTTTCTCGTAAATATTCTAAATATGCTGGATAATCATTACATTCATTTAAATGTTCAATATATTGAACATGACGATCAAATGATGAAGATTTTTTAATAACTGGTAAATAATAAGTCATATTAGCAGATGATGATGATGATTTTGATTTAAAATTTTGATTGGATTTTTTAAAATTATCTAATAAACTTCGTGCCCATAAACGTGAATCTTTTTCAAAAGCAACAGGACGATTATAAAGTGATGTACGAGTTAAATAATCACTTGGTGATAATTGCTTTGAACCTAATTGAATAAAAAAAAAAAAAAAGCTGTTAGAACAATCTCTGTAAGATTAAAAATATGAAACACGATGGAGCTGTTGAAATTGTAGAAGAGAAAATTAATCAATATATGTTTTGGTTTATAAATTCTGACTTACTGTTAATGCATGTGCCAGTAGTGAAAGATATTAATCGCATATATATTGCAGTGAAAAGTGAAGGACAATTATCATACTATGCTTCAAAATCATTTGAAAAAAACAGTATGAGAAATACGTTGAATTACTTATTGAATCGAATGACAAATATATATTCGTAGGTACTGCAACTTCTCGAAGACTATCATCTATTAACATCAGCTTTCAAGAGTAAAATTGCTCGCTAATCAATTTCAAAGGGTGAGGTCGATTACTACTTTTTAGTTACAATGATAATTTCAGTACATGGTTAGCACTGTTCGATTTCAGTAATACACACATGTCACTTAATATACAGTTAATAGTACATTCGACATTGCGTGTGTAGATGTAAGAAATGTCATTGACCCGAACAAAATGTTCTGCTTTTATTTATTAACTAAATGAAATTTCCGAGACGTTGACGTAATAAAAATTCCTGATTGTGACTAGTTGCATGGTACAAAACTCATGTGCAAAAAAAAAAAAAAGGAAAAAATTTCATTATAATAGATTGTTTTTTTGTAATTAAAAATCAATTATAATCCAAGTTTAATCAAATTGAAAATAAAAAAAAAATTATTCTGAATAGATTTTTCTAAATAATCGATTATAATAGATTTTTTTCAAATTATTTGATGAAAATCAATTATAATCATAGACTTTTAATCAATTGTTAGTCGATTAGAAAACGATTTTTATCACTAAAATAATCCAAAAAATCACAATATCCTTGATTAATTCCGATAACAATCGATTAAAAATCTACGCCAACAACATTATTTTAATCGATTGTTGACAGTCAATGATATAATCTTTAATCAATCTTCTTTGATTGTCAGCAATTGCAAGCAATTTTTTTTTAACAAAATTGAATCAATTATTTTAGAATATAATCGACTAATAATACATTTATGGTAGATGGAAAATTACATGATTTTAATCGATATAACCCTTAAAAGCCGGATGACCTTAATATCAAAAATTGAAAAAAATTACCACGCAAATAGAAGTTTTAGAACCTGAAAAAGAATTATTTATAATCAATACAAAAAAAATTGTTTTTTTTGATAAGGAGATATAAAATATTTCTTGATAGGAACATTCGGTCTTAGCGGTTCAAATCTGTCGCTGTTCTGAATAGATGTGAGAAAACTATTTTCAAGTGAATAGCTTTGTTAATTTTTTTGCAGGCATCATAAATTAATAGAAACCAGTGTTTTCAACAGTCTTTTAATAAAAAAAAAATCAAGATATGTATTTTCATTAAGAAATAGTCATATCTATATGAAAGTCTCTTATTTGTTACTAAACTATTATTTGATTATGAATAAAAAGACCTTTTTCTAGTTCAATAATTAGTTTACATCATTCATTAAAATATTTTAATCTTGGCTCAACTTTTTGATTTTAAATTTTACAATTGAGTCATCATGAAAATGAAGTATTGATAACAAATAACATGACCAATTATTTAAGAAACTGATTCTAGACTGGAATACAACAGAAACAATAAATGTGTGATGCATTTTGGAATTGCTTTAGGTTCAAAAACACTCTGTAATTTAATTCACCATCATAATCTAGTAGATTAGATCTTAACACTTTGCCTGACCACAATTCATGTTGTCTTCAATTCATTATACCGCCCTCATTCCTAGCACTTCCAGTTGATAGACCTAATTCACCACGTACACGACCTTCTTCAACGTCATCACTGTTAATATCATTTATATATGAATTGATTGAATAACACGAATCGTCATCTGAACAATCGTTTTCCATTACTTTTGACATATTCGAATTGTTTTTCAACCATGAAACAGTTGAGGAATCACGGGACTGATTTTCCTTGGCAAAATCTTTGACGCATGTATTTCATTCATTTGAAGATGAGGCTTAGACTCCCTTAGCGACCTTGAGCACTCCTTTCTCCTTCGAGATTTTCCAAAAATATACTTGGGAGATAGAAGTGGCTCAGTGCCCCTTCAGCTCAAAATCCTTGTTTCGGCACTGTGATGAAGTATTAGTGGAACTTCGAATTTCATATATACTGATGAATTTTAAAAGATACAATAACCAACAGAAAAAGCGCCACTTCATTAAATATTAAAATAAAACACTTATGGGAATTCTATTCCTTTATAAATTAGTATGACTGTTTTTCAAGTTTTCTGTAATCAATCCTAAAATAGGAATAGAGTCATTCTTTCCAAATACGTTGATAATCACAAATCAGCAAATTGATTATAAATTATCATGTGAAAGACAAATTAGGTAATTTTAAAACCTTGAGAGATTTTGTCAACTTCCATTAGAAAAATTTCGTAAATAAAGCTATGATCTTGTCGGGGAGGGGTGAGGGGGGTGAGAGGGTGAATTCTCCCAATCTTTACTCTACTCGATGCAATCACTAGTCAAGTGTCAGTTAGTCCAAAAGCTTGTACATGCAATATTTCAAAAGTTCTGACATTTTTATAGGGTGATCAAAGATTTCGGTCCGTTATGATCGAATGTCCCTCTCAAGGGACATTTCCTTCATCACATCATAATACACTGAAACATCGATAAAAACATTGTGAGATTGTATCATTCGATAGTTCAACGATCTACCTGGCGGAATCAATAAAAAGATCAAATCTTCCTCTAGTACTTATCAATGAAAAGATGTTTCAAAATGAAAAACTAAAATTTAAAAAAATCAAAAGTCTTAAGAAGTCATTATTTCGTCTAACAGTTACTTTGAATTGATTTTTTTTTCTTTTTTTATAATCTATAAAGTCGTACTAGTCGAAAAGAAGAAAGGGTTTTGTATACACACTATTATTGCATGCTTTATTGAGATTTTCGCAATGTCCCTTGGAAGAGACATTCGACTTTTAAGGGATAATAGATTATTTGTCGAAAAATCGGCTTTAATTGATTATTGCCTAAAAAAATCTATTTTCATCTATTATTTTATTGAATTTAATCAAAACGTAGCGTATTTAATCGATTTTTGTGATTATTGCCGGAAGATCAATTTTAATCTGATTTTTTGAACGGTTTCTTTTTTTAACATGAGAAATCTTTTTTTTGCTAGAAAGAATAGAGTTCAGACTGCCTAGTCTGAAGGAAAAATCTCTGTGAATCAGACCCCATATCATACTAATCTTATAGTAGACATTGATTCCATGATAATGTCTGTCTGTGGGAGGAGGAGAGTTCAAATTTTTATCCGTACATTTCAACGCTTCTTCTTAGATCGTGTTTCATAAAAAATATTTTTTTATTTTACCATATTTTAAATAATTTTCTTCAGTTTCCCATCGATATTTTTCATAATTATCTCGATCATTTTGTAAATTATGTGTATGTAAATAATCTACAACATTTGCTGATATTAAATCAATATTTTCTTGTTTATCATTAAATTCTGTTGAATCAAGTAAATCAGTTATATCTGACATTTTGTTATTATTTGATATCATAGTTGATGTTGACTGAATTCGATCAACTGATGTATAATCATTTGTTAATAAATCAGATTTTGTACGTGAATAATATTCATCATCATCATCATCATCATCATCATCATCATCTAATGAATCTAATTAAAAAAATTCTTTTAAGAAAAAAAAATTAAACTTAAGAAAATTTTTACCTATATTAAAAAAAATAAGATCATCATCTAAATCAATTGAACTCATTTGTTTTTTAATTTTTAAATGATCTAGAAAAATAAATAAAACTAGAAGAGATTTTTATTGAAGTAAATATTCTAATTTATGTGTTGATAAACGTGTTATATTAACTAAAATATGAGTAAATAATTTTTCTTTATGTATATTTTCTATTGTATAATCAACTTGATTTAATTGTTTTATACCGTCGTGTAAATATCGAGTCCAACCTTGAAGTAATTGATGACTAAATTTATTTAATAAGAAAAAAAAATGATTGAAAAATAATAGAAAATATTTCTTACCGATTTACAGCACGTTCACGTTTTTCATGACGAATCATTTTATAACGACCAATATGATTTGGCGGTCGACTTAAACGATAACTTGAATTACGTATTCTAAACAAAATCTAATCATAAGAACGTTGGTTTTTTTTTCTGAATCTCTCATTTAAATGAACAAATAAATTTTATTTCTTGATTTAGAAAAGTTTTAAGAAACCATAACGAACCTTTGTGCCATATCTAAAATAAATGATCATTAAAATAATCAAATTTTTTTTTCCTCTTTTTATTTTTACCATCATCTTCTGCCTATAACAAAAAAAAACCCAAAGAAATAATTATTATATTAAAAATAAAATTCTACATACTCCCCAACCCCAATATAAATTTGACCATCCATTAACTGAAATAAATTGTTCTTCACTTAATGCTAAAACACCTCCAACCAAATGATTATACATTAATCTTTTAAGACAAAAGACAAGCATTCAAAAATTGAATTGGATTATTTAAATAAATCTTAAACTTACTACTTACACATAACGTAATTCATCAACAGCAGGTGATAAATGTCTTGGTGCTTTTTGATCACATTCATAAACATTATAATCATTTTCCGGTACCAAATCAACATCATGAAATATAAAACAATTAAATGTTGAACGAATGTTTAAAGCTTGTTGAAATGCAACATTCATTATTATACCTTTATTAAATGTAACATTGCCTATCTAAACAATTTTTAATGATTAAGTTAATATTTATTTATAAATTTCAGAAAGAAATTTTAACTATTTCATATTAATGATATAAAAGATATATTTTAAGAATATTTGCGTGATTTTTGTAAATAAACTAAGAGATAAATATAGGTTATCATTTTGATTATTGTACTATACAGATAAAAACATTTAGATTTTTCAATCATAACTATCCGAAATTTGTATTGATTTGAAACATTAGTTTTTCTTTTTTTTTTTTTGTGTTTACAAAAGTATATCTAAATTTTATCCTTATCATTAGAAAAGAACTTTATAGACCATAACCTGTTCTACAACGAAGATTTGATAAGAACGTTTTTGTCTTTGAAGAAATGGATGAAGATATTTTAATAATAATTTAAGATGATACTCTCTATTGCGAAATGGAATAATAATAGCAAGTTCTTGTCGAGATTTACAATCATTGGGTGAATAGATTCCACCTAAAAAATATTTTGTTTTTGTTTTTGCTAAAAATCAAATAATAAAATCTAATATATTCTCATACCTATCTGTACATTCGGATTATCTGACCATTCAACTTTTTCTAACATAATAATTTCTTCTTTACTTCCTATTACATAGATATTTTAAAGAAAAGAAAAAAGTACAATTGAATTCCATTAACATTCAATTTACCTTGAAGAGTAGAAGGATATAATGGACAAAATTCATTTAAATGATCATTATCTATCAATATATATTGATTACCAGTATACTCATAGTATGTATTACAAATATGAATAATAATAATAACAATAATAATAATAATGATCTCTCGTAAATATTCATTTCGAGTGAAACGATTAAATTTACTTCGACTTAACATTAATCTTTAAAAAAAAATAAATAAAAAAGATATATTAAAATAATAATAAAAAAAAACAAATCGTATCACATTCAAAACAAAAAAAAACAATTATAATTACAAATACAAAAAAAATAAATAAAATTTCATTGCAATTAAAAAATTCTAATTAATTTAAAATAATGATAAGTTCGAAGGTTTTTCGTCAGCTGATGATGAATTAAGCCAACATGGTTTTACATATGAAGTTGGATTAATCAAATCAGAAAATGATGAATAAGATGATGCTAAAGCACCATAAAGTCCAACAAGTAATGCAATTGCTAATAAAGTAATATCCCATTTTGGTAACACCCTAAACATTAAAAATAAAAAATTATTTTCAACATATTACATGATTACTTTGTATATTCATATAAAAAGCATGAATAATACAATGGAATAATAAGATTGAAAAAAACAAATTGATTATACTGAGAAAAGAAATAGAGTTTCTTACCTAAATATAGTCTCAAATAATTTTTCATGAACTAATTGAGTTGAGTGAACTTTAATCATAACAAAACAAACCACCGGTAATATAAAACCTAATATTGATACAGTTGAACTTCCAATAAATGCAAGTATAGCACCAAAATGTGGTATTGTTTCTGCCATAAATGCTAAAAATAAAACAATTCCACTACGTAATACAGCACGTTGCCAACAAAAATGTTTTGGTACATGTGTTAATTCTTCAAAACCTTGAAATATTGGATTTAATACTATTGTAAATGCTGTTGCTAAATGACCAGTGATTAATATTTCGACTGTATAACGAAGAAAGTTTTTTGGTAAATTTTTCAATATATTATCTTGTACCTGTGAACCATAAACAACATATCCAACAATTGATACAGGTAAATAAAAAACTAATAAAATTGAATAAGCAATAAGTACTGCTACATGAAATCGATGTGGTTGACGCATGTCAACTTGTATTGTGGGAAACATAGCTGATCCACCCCATGCAAAAAACATAGTTCCCATTGAAAATGAAAATGATTTAAATGTAACTGTACTTGGTTCATATCGCTGAATTGTTCGGTAATGAATAAGAGTACTGATAGTTATAAATACACAAGCAATTGCTGTACAAACCATTGCACCAATGGCTATAGGCCTATATAAAACAAAAGTTTTAATATAGAATATTTATTAGATTTGTATAATAAACAATGAACAAAACGATGATATTAAAAGTCGACAGAAAAATATTGTTGAAGTCTAATTCACGATAATCATTGAATAGTAGAGATATATTAAGAGAAGAATTAATTTTTCTGATTAATATTCAACAGATTTTTTTTTTCTGATGAGATGATTAAACAGTAAAATATCTAACAAAAAGTATATGTTAATCTAATAGTCTGGTCAAAGCACAGGTAAAACTTTCGAAAGGTTTCATCTCAAATATACAGATATAAAGGTACAAGTGCATTATTGAACAAATTTCACCAGTAGAGTTTGGTGATTCCAAAAGAATTCGAACCGTTAAATCATCACATAGATACAAAAATTCTTAAATCTATGTCGAGAAATTTTCATTCGTGAGAATAAAGATTTTAGTAGATATGTATAATATCGGTTTTTTTTAGGTATTAAAATATGTAACATCTTAAATTTCAGTAATTCAATAGTAAAAATTCCTCAGAATATGTTAAAAATTATTGTATCTATCTAAGAATTTAACGGTTATTTTTGGACCCAATTAGATAGAAAATTTTCAGATTCGAGTCCGACAGATTTTATTCAGAGTCTAAAATGCCTTATTTCATTATAATTTCTACTCGTAAAGATTTTATACGATATAATTTTTATATAAAATCTTACCAACTATCTTTTGGTGTACCAAGCCAACATGGACCAAGAAGAAGAGCAGCAACAATAATAATCCATATACATACAGGAAGATGTGCATGAATAGCATCAAATAAACTCTGAAGATTTTGTGCAGCCAAAAGTAAGAATACAACACCTGTTTGACTATTCAAATATGTCTTCATCAACTTGACAAATATATATGAAGATAATAATATTCTTTATCTTTTTTTTACTAACATCGCTGATGAATAATTCTTGCACCCAATAGTTGAAAATAAATAACAAATATTAACACATATCTATATATATATATATATATCAATATTAAAATTTTCATTTAAAAAATAAATATTAAAATTAACTTACTTTCCAATACGACCCGCACCTTCAGTAGCTATAACTTGAAATGGTGATCGACTACCTTCTTCAGAATAAACTGGATTCATTTCTCTTAACATTGTCCAACAATCACCTAATCTAATACCAGAATAACCAGATAACATGCATAAAACAAAAGTCGATATAAGACCATACCATCCGGCTTGATCCATAGCTTTAGGTAATGCTAAAAGACCCGTACCAGCCATTTCTCCAGTGATAAATAGAGCGGCAGTGAATACACTGAGACCATGATGCTAAAAAAAAAGAGCGTATCTTTTAAATTTTCAAAAATATATATTTGAAAATCTTTACTAGGATATGTTTTGTGTCGGACGGTAAAATTGGGTCTTGGCAGCTACTTTCAAACGACATGAGCTCCAGTCTATATCTATAACAAGAAAAACTTTAACAGATTCTTTTTTTTCCTTATCTAGAGAAGGTAGAAAATCAAATCTACCAAGATGAAAAAGAAAAATATGATGAGAATTTGAGATAGCTCGTTTAAAAATAAGATTTAAAGTCTGGTCGATCTGCATATGGAATTTTTCCAATATTACAATCGTTATTATATTGAATCTAATAAAATAGAAATAAATTTTTATAAATAAATTAATCTTTGAAAAAATTACTCGTTTTTTCTGTGCCAAATATTGAAGTAATCCGCCAGCGAGAAGGAAAAGTGCAGGCGCAAGAAGTATACGTGGTGACGAATATAAATAACGATAACTATTTTGTTGATAAGCATAAAGGCGAGTATTTTGTGGGTCCACCTTATCAAAATAAAAAACAATTGAAAGATAGGAAATTAGTCATATTTACTTACAAAATGACCAGGCACACTAGCATAAAATGGATTTCTATAACGTTTAAGAAATTCTGCTTTAGTCGTTGTACGTAATCGTGAACGTTTTTGAATTAGCTTTATTTCATCAGGTGTTAAGTCCCATTCAGATGGGAGTGCTTGGACAGGCATATTTAACCTTGAAAGATAAAAAAAAATTCTTTGAGTGAAAATAAAAGATACAAAGATAAAACTAGAAAAGGTATACTATTATACCATTGGTGATTAATGCAAGCCTTCATGTATGTTCTTACATAAAGATGTCACTATCATCTAAATAAATGAACAGAGGCATATGAAAGGCTCTAAAGGTTTCTACGTGACTTGATTGTTCTTTTTAATAATATTGTATAGAATTATATTTGTATTTATTTGAAAAGAAATATGCCAGCTAATCAATCAAAACGTAAACGAGCTATTGAAGTACATAATAAAAAAGTTACACAACGTGGTAATGTACCAAAATCAAATAAACAAGTTGAGTCAAAAACACCTGTTGGCCCTTGGCTTTTGGCTTTATTTGTTTTTGTTGTAATTGGTTCGGCTGTCTTTCAAATAATTCAAAGCATTCGAACGGCATAACATTTGAATATTTTTCATTGTTCCTTATATGTTTATTTTTAACAAAAATTGATTAAAACATAATTTAATGAAAATGATCATTCACAAGAGAAAAATTCACTCATAAAAAAAACAGTATCTGTCGTTTATTTTTGCTTTATTATTATTATTATTATTGCTGTTGTTGTTGCTTTTTTTCTTCTTATTAAATATTATCACGTTTCATTCATCAACACAACATATAAAAAAAAAGCATAAATATTTTATGATTTACTCATTTCATCAGCACACAATAATGAAATTTTAAATATGATTTTCTTGATACATTCGTCAACTGCAAAAATGTCTATAAATAAAAAACAAATTATTAGAATCGATCAGAATACAATTTAAAAGAACACATGATAGTTTTTGACTTGTTGGTGAGACAAATAATATTTGTATAGATAAAGAGTTCAGATGAGAGAAAAAGAAATAAAGTTTAGAATTTCATTCTAGATTGCTATTAGTTGATTGACATAAATAGTTTGAAAAGATGATTCTTATGTATTATCAATTCAATTGCATAAAATATTCAACAATTTACGTTAGTTTTTATCATTTTATGAAACATTTGATAATGTGTGATCTTAGAATGAAATCTTCGAAATGATGAAATTCTATTATATTGCTAAAAAAATCTATCATATGCAGTATATTTAATTATTTTATATAAACTCATTGATCTAGAATGCCTTGATCTATTGTGTGGAAGTAAATAAGAACAACATATTCATGTAGTGCGTCAGCATCTTATACATTCTAATCTGATATACAATCAAATTCTGCATGATGTACGCAATTCATGATTTGATCGTAAAGCTATTTTTAGTTTTTTTTTTCATTTCTTTTTATATATTTGCATTTTGACTAAATTTGACGGCGTCATTAACTATAACGCACTTTATCCTAGGTCATTAATATGCACTGACAAATGCATTCATTCTGTTAAATCAGTCTACCGAAGATAATATTCAAAGAAAATTAGTTCGAAATAAATTTTGAATAAAAGTATTCAATATCTAATCGATTGGAGTTTATGCTTAAAGCTTCTTGTTATAATTCAGTTTCATTCTAAACATTGTCCAAACACTAGCTTATTTCACTTCACAATCACATATTGTTATCTTTACTAAATACGATTCATAAAATAATTTATTGATTAGACTAATTCATTTTCATCATTATCAAAGGTTACTGAGGAGATTCATTAGTGAAAAATCTGACTAAGACAAAGTCATATAACGATATTGAATGTTAGAATAATGTTCTATTTCAGAGTTATGATGAATAATAATGATGACTCGTTAAATAATTTAATTTTTACGAATAGTATTTGTCGTCATTTATAACACGAGGATGTATGCGCAGTTTCTTAGAAGATATACCTCAACACGTCATTTTTCGATTGAAACTATTTTTCAGGTACTTAAATATTGAATTAATATTCATTTTTTTCATAGAATCTAGAAGCGCGAATAATAATATCCATAAATTTTCACAGACATGCATAGAACGATTGAGTTTTTTCACGTGAGTCGACGTATGCATTAAATAAATAGCAACTTCCAATGAATGGACTGAACTTTTCCGGTAGAATCTTTATCAAGTAGTGCTAAAAATCTTTACATACTGATTGAGATAAATCACCTATTCATTTATCTATGATAAAAAAAACTTTTACAATTTCGTATTCACACTATGAAATGAAATTCAAAACAGGTAAATCATAGAATAATACTCGAAGATGTTATTCATCGATTTATTTGATGTTATTGTCGATTCTAAACCATAATTATTTATGATAGAGTTATCGCAGAAATCAACTTATTGTTTTTATGTTTTGTCACTCTAGTAAAAATTGAATGACAAAAAGATTCTTTCATTAAAAAAAATCAAAAACTAGATACTTTTTCAAATAATGTATAGATGTATTGATCTTTGTTTTATGTATTTTTGACTATGAATGGTAAACAAAAAATTCTTTTTTTTTTGTTGATATTCTTAGACAATATGTAAATCACTTATTGCTGAGAATCTTCGATCAACTTATATGAAAGCTCCAAATCTTTCTCTCAAAGAAGCTATTCGACATGTACCAGACTTCTCAACACTTGTACCGACCTGTGTTGATTCATCTATAGCAAGTTCTAGTGCAAGAAGTGGATTGACAAAGGAAGACGTTGCTGCAATAAAAACCTATACTGCTGAATGTTCGGTTTATGAACTTCTCAATGCAGCACTTCGTACTGAAGAATTGAAGAATATTGAACCTTGGTTTCCTTATTTGAAACTTCTTCACATTGCTCTCAGCAAACTACTTTCAAGGAAAGGAACATATTGTCGTGGAATACGTGGAAATCTTAATTCTCTTTATCCAGTTGGTTCTATTGTGACTTGGGTATGTAAAGTAATTGAAGAACTTTATTTGAATGAATAAAAGAAGAAGTGATCTTGATTAAAAAAAATAATTTAATATGATATGTATATCTGAATTGAAATAATTAACACAGAAAAAAAAATAATACTTTTCTTTTTGAAAATCTATATATACTAATTTACTATGTTTTATCTGCTTAATAGTGGGGTGTCTCATCACTATCCGCAAAAACAAGTGTATGTATGAAGTTTTTGAAAAAAGGTTACCATGGAGCCTACAATGGTACTTTGTTTACGATCATATCTTCATCAGCAAGAAGCATAGTAGATTTCTCTCAATATCCTAATGAAGAGGAATCGATTTTATTGCCCGCTACCAAATTCAAGGTTATTAGCAACAATCCTAGTTTAAAATATATAGGATTATATGAAATCAAAGTGGAAGAAATCGAAGGCGGTTTCTCACGGTAAATTAATTAATTTTATATTGATTTTTTTAACACAAAGAATTGAAAACAAATCAGGAATAGGATTCGATTGATGGATAGAAATGACAGTAGAACAACTGGAAGAAAACTTCGAAATGTTAATTTAAAATAAAGATTATTGAAATATTTCTAATATTAGCAGTTCCTACAAAAACATCAAAATCAATTACAAACTCGAAATCAACAATAATACCCATACCAAGTAGAACGTGGAGGCACAGAAACGGCTCAATATCAACATTGGCTAGCGCTATATTCGAGCAAAGGTAATCGAACAAATAGAAACAAACAACTGAAACATCATTATCTAAGTTTGATCCCAAGAGCTGATGTTTTCATGTCAGCTTCTCAAACTAAATGCTTTAAAAAGTGTCATGTTTCTATTTAAATTATTATCAAGCTATTTAATATTTTTATTTACAGGAAATATTCTCGATTTTCTTGGCAGCTATTCAAAAGCCAGCTTTAGTTAATACTTGTCTTAAACTATTTACTGATTAAATCAATATTTATTTATTCCGTCTAGAGTTGCAAATATAGTCTTCTTCATTTTTCTAAGATAAGCAAACAGCGATCGAGATTTTTCTTTTTTCTAACTATTCAGAGGTATTAATAATCATTTATTATCCGAAATAATGCTTGAGGTTAAATACCTAATTATTCGAACATATTTATATCTACTACACATTATTCGAAAAAAAAAAGTTCGTTAGAATCGATATATTACTGTATTCAATTATCATTTGAGATTAAAAATAAAATTTTGAGAACAATATGAAGGAATAAAAGTGAAGATCGTTAGAATAGTGAAACGATGAAAAAATTTTAGAAAATTTCTGTAGGAAAACAAATAACATTGTACATATAAACTGTTTGGTTCTTTTTTGAATAATTTCTTGTTTATTTATTTGTAAAAAATAATATAAATATTTTTAAAATGAAAGATAAACTATAGGAAGAAAGAAGAATAGTCTTGCCTTTCAACTACCTTGCGGTATGAGGTGTTGTCTACCATCAGATTCAATAGCTTGATATCTTTCCTACAACTAATACTAACTGTAGCTGTGGACAGAATACCCAACTTGATGCAGAGTTCTTGTGTTTAATTGCTTGAGTCCTTCATACACATTAACTAATAACAAGAGTAGCTATAGGTCATAACGTGGTCAGTATACTATCAGACGAATGATTTGAGATAAATAGCCGTTAGTGATTTGTCTAGAATCATTCCATGTCTGGTAATAATGAGCAAAATAAACTATCAGTATATATTTTATTTTTAATGTCATCAATTAATTGATATTTATATGGCATTAGGTTGAATTGAGGTAACTTCGATACGACATATACATAATCAAACTAACTTACAACGAGAAATTAACAAGGAAATATATTGATATTAAGAGTTGAACAGAAGAGGTCATGTAATACTTTCTTTACATACTTAGGTCTGACCAAAAGTTCTGTCATCATTAAATAAAAATATAGCGATAATGAGATATTTTTAATTTTATTTTATCAAATGTTGAGGATAGTTGCCAGTATTATTTATTTCAAGATCAATCTTTTCTAACAATTAATTAAAAGTTTTTTTGAATTCTTTTTCTGAAAAAATTTTTAACTACCTTGGAAATCATATGAGTTAATCATGTTTCATTTGTTTTAAAAATTTAGCAAAATTTTGTTCGATTATATCAGTTGTGTTCTAGCATTACTAGTCATGAGATATGGATTTATTTTAGATAGGTTAGTTATAAGTCATCTAATGCAAGCTAGTATATTGAAGACGAATCGTTAAAGACTATTACTCATGGAGATAGATATGAATCAAGACTTTGTTTGGTATATTCTTTAAATCAAATAGTCCTGAGTGTAGATAAAGGCAAGCCTGTAGATCACAAGTATTATATTGAATATTGTCTGAAGCCTTTTGTTAATGTAATATAAAAACAAACAGAGACATCAGGTTTCAAATGTCCAAAATTACTTGACGATCATCGTTGATTTCATATTCGTCCAATGCTATTAATTATTTGACAGAGGGAGACATCAATATAATATCACATCTACCATATTCACCAGATCTGATACTACGTAATCTATGATTAAATGATTGTGTTGAACGTAGTTTAACTAGTTGAATAAATGAAATATGATATGCTCGTGAGGTTTCCAAGATAGCTAAAACTTTTTTCAGAAAAAGAGTTCAAAAAAAAACTTTTAATTAATTGTTAGAAAAGATTGATCTTGGAATAAATGATATTGGCAGCTATCCTCAACATTTGATAAAATAAAATGAAAAATATCTCCTTATCTTTACATTTTTATTTAATGATGACAGAACTTTTGGTCAGTCCTAAGTATATAAGCTATGTATTTAATCTTCTTCTACAATTAAATTCTATCTCTTTTAAGAATGAGTTGTTTTCAAATGTTATCGGTGTGTGTGTGTTAGTAGATTGTATTTTATTCATTCGCATGATTACAAAAGCTTGAACTTAAATTCCGATTTCCAATCTCTATCACGTTTTACAATTCATTAGAAAAAATTAACTTCGATAAGTAGTCGATTTGATATCGATAGGTATTCATAATCAGTAATTCATTAGCAGTGTGATACGAAGATCATTGCTTTGATCATAGATGACACAGAAGTAATGTTCGCCTAGATTATCGAAAGTCTAATATGTTACCATTTCCAAGTGTTATCTGAGTTCTCCTATGGTTTCCATAATTTTGAAAAGTACAACATATTCATTTGAATAAATTTTCTAAATTTATTTTGCGCTTGAATTTTATTATTTAGTGATAAGAAAAAAAAACTACTATTGATTGTAACTGGTATCATTGTCATCTTGGTAATTATCTCTGGACTTATTGCAGCTTATGTTTGTTATTGTATAAAAAACAAATAGTTTGGAATATCACAAACATTAAAACAATTAACTCTGATCACTGCAGATTTATTTACTTTTCCTTCTCGAATTGATCATGATTAAAAGTTCGTCGATACTTCATATTTTTAATTACAATTAGTCATACAATTAATGTAGGTCTTTTTTACATTTTTATTTCCCTTACTGTATTACATGTTATCATTTTCATTATAGGAAATGATAATTCTTAATATATCTATCAAGATTACTTTCAAATAATTTTCTTTTGTTAAATCAGAGATTCGAAACAAAGAAAAGTATCGATTAGAAGACAAGACTAAGTCATAGCCTATTGTATTTCTACGTACAAACAACAATTGAATAGTTCCAATCAATTCCCATTCAATTGATAGATCATTTTTAACTTTGTGTGTATGAATCATCAATAAAAACAAAATTTCATTCGGTAATATTTGTCTACGAGAAATATTGCGAATAGAGTGGAATATGTATTCTATGTTGTTGAAAAATACTGAAAGCGAACAGTCACTATGAAAGTTTTTCAAACAAAATGAATTGTAAATATGAAGAAAACACAAAAAAAACTGACTCAGAAATTATACACTGATGTGATTAATGGGCTAGTCTCATTTGATCAAATGTCATACTGTGAGAACGCTTTTCTTTTTATGCAAAACTAATTGAAAGATGAATAAAAATTAATCCTATTACATTTTTCTTCCTTAGTTATTAGTTCTATAATGAAAAAATATCGATTTTTTTTTCAAGATCTATAATTTAGAAATAGAATAGATTGTTTACGAAAAATAAGTTTCACATTCGCAGGCAACACTGTTATGATAACCAATATATTAACAGAATTGTTGTGATCGAATAACACATTTAGATATCTCTCCAATATCAATGATTTCTGGAATATCTGTAAGTACTTTTAGCAACGATTATGTCTTGTGATAATGATTTATTAAGTTCAAAACTAAATCTATTTCTATTGTGAGTTGATGTTTGATAGATTTTCCTATGATCGAATTATCATATACAGTTGTATAAGAAGGCAAACCTTGTCTCTTTATCGGCAGATATCAATATGATCAATATGCAGCTATGAAAGTATCTTGGATAGTTGATTAGCTACACTGCACATTGTCGTACAAAGGAAACTTATGATAGGACAATGATATAATCAAAAATTATGTACTGAGATAGATAAATTTGAGTGTGTGATATCAATATTGGTTCATGGCGATATTGTGAAATTTTCGACGTTTTCTATGGCCAATAGTTTTTCTTCAATCACCATTGCGTGAGATTTATTTTTTGAATCTTTTTTTTTTCTATATTTTACTCGTCAATGTTTATTTTGAGTCATATTTTCGTTCGACCTTTTTAATGCTAATCTGATATTTAATTGTCAATTGAGATCATAATTTGAAAAAAATTCAAGTTATAAATGCGTGAAACTTTTATTTATCAACGAATTCGAATTGAATTTTTAAGTACGAATCTTCAATGAACTAAAAGTTTAACTTGAGAATGCGAAATGTATCACTTCAGAGTTTTCGAAAATGTTTTCGATTCGACGTATGCACAGAATGTTTTATCTAAAAATTATTTAACACATTTTCAAATCTCAAGGAGAACTCACAGAAAACATGGTCAATTGAGCGAATATAATT